TCTAGTGGAGTAATATTACCTATATATAAAAAAAGGGAACCAGTCTGATCCAAATAACTATAGGGGCATCGCTATAACCAGTTGTTTTGCAAAATTATTTACTGTTTTACTAAATGAAAGATTAAAAATATGGGTAGAGGGTAGAAGTGAACAACGTTTTAACTGATGCCCAATTTGGCTTTAGGAATAAATATAGTACTGTAGATCCTGTTTTTATTTTAAACGCATTAATTCAAAAGCAACTTCTGAACAAAAACAAACTGTACTGTTGTTTTGTAGAATATAAAAAAAGCTTATGACTCTATCGAGAGAAATAGGCTATGGTATAAATTAATAAAACTAGGAATAAATGGTAAATTTCTGTCGGTTATTAAGATCAATGTACAGCGAAGTGAAACTTTGTGTAAAATATTTAGGGAGTCCCTATCTGACTTTTTCAATAGTAATTTAGGTTGTTCCAAGCGAGAAATAAAACGTCGCCGATTTGCTTCTCTATATTTTTAAAATGATATAGAAATGCAAATACAGGAAAATATTGACGCTGGAATAAATATTGATCAAATTGCGATATATATTTGCCCCTATTCGCTGATGACGCGGGTAATCGTCTCTGAAACAAGTACTGGGTTACAGAAATCACTAGATAGTTTATATTCTTATTGTTGTAAATGGAACCTTACAGTTAACATAGAAAAAAACTAAAGTTGTAGTGTTTAGGAAAGGGAAGAAGAAACGACAAATGGTATTATAATAATCATGAAATTGAAATAGTCAAGTCTTTTAATTACCTAGGGGGTTGTAATCTCTTCTGTTGAGGGCCTTTTATGCAAGCAGCAAACACATTAGCCGGGAAAGGGTTGCGATCTCTACATTCTTTGTTGGCTATTGTTTAGTAGTAGAAAGTGCCAATAGATATATTGTTCAATTTTTTTGATTCGTATGTACTTTCTGCTTTAAATTATGGCGCAGAGGTGTGGGGTTATATAAATTCAGAGGTTATAGAAAGAGTACATAAGAAATTTTGTAAATGGATAATAAATGTTAAGCAATCTACACATACTCTAGCTCTCTATATTGAGTTAGGTAGATTTCCACTCTATATAGAAAGACATATTAAAATGGTTAAATACTTTCTGATTATTAATACCGTCAAGTCGGAAAATTGCATACTTAAGGCGGTTTTACAAAATCAAAATCAAATGTCTAGAGCTAAACGAATCAATAAAAAATGGGTCTCATTTATACGCGATATCCTTCAGTCTTCTGGTCTAAGTGAAGTCTGGTTATATCCAGAACCCGTTAAAATAAATGTATTTGTTCCAGTCTTACGTTGTAGGCTTAGAGATATATACATAAGTAATTGGAGAACGGGATTGCAGATGTTCTTTAAATATTTTCCGGGAGATAAAAGATACGTTTGAGCAGTCAAATTATATCAGACTATTAGAAAATACAAAATTTAGAAACGCACTGGCTATATTACGTCTCTCTTCACATAAACTTAACATTGAAGTCGGCCGACACTATAATATTCCGCGCGATGAACGAAAATGTACACTATGTAATTTAAACGACCCAGAGGACGAATTTCACTTTGTTTTAAAATGTACAGCTTATGTCGATTCAAGAAGGCACTATATACCCAGATATTATTATACCCACACAAATGTAATTAAGTATATATCATTAATGCAAATTAGTAATAAGAAGATCTTAAAAAAAATGGCTCTATATTGTTTTAAAGCTTTCAAATTAAGGGATTCGCTATTGTAATAATATAAATGTCGTTCTTAATCTGAAATCATTCCTTTTTTGTTATTTTTTTATTCCATGTAACTTTTGAGTATATATAAATATATTTCTTCCTTTGTTACATTCTCACATTCTCACTATATATGTGTTAAGGAAATAATTATTCATGTATTATATGTAAAATCTTCCATGTCATACCAATATATATAATTATGTTCTTTTTTCATTGTTAACGACGATGGGCTTGTAATGCTAAGTCAAATAAAATACTTGTTCTATTCTGTTCTGATAAATAACTCAGTTATTTTTCTGTCAAATAAATAAAGAAATAAGTATCGAAAACTTATAAATAAAATATACAAGGTTACCTGGTTTCCTTCGGGCGAGTAAGGATACTTCTTGTTAATGTTGCATTTTGGCGAATATTATTAACTTATATCTAACATTATTATTTTCATCATTACGACATTTTATGGATATACTATGCTCAAATTTGATATCAGGAAATATTGGTAATTGCTACGCAGTCTCTTTGTAAATATAAAATAAACATGTTTTGACTTCACACAAAGTAGATATTACATGTTTAAAACTCTACACACTATAGGTGGTCACAATATGAATATATAGTGTCGTTAAAAAAAAACTGGCAGTTTTTTTAATAAACGACCAACTTTGCCTGTCCTTTAATTGGGAACGCGGCTTCCAAAACATAGCAAATTCATTTTTTAATCAAATTTAACATACTCAGTAAGGATTTTTATAGGTTTTAACAAATTTCTTTGATTTAAGTATTTTACACAAATATGAGCATAGTATATCTTTAAAATGATAAGCGAAACAAGAGAAAATGTATAAAAGATGGTTATTAACTTGTAGAATCAAACGTGCTACTTCTTTGATCTAACGCCCAGTAATGAAACGTTTCAAACATTGACTGTTGATCAACGTTACGATAAATGAAAATATTAAATCTTTGAAGCGAATATTTCAATTTTGTCAATAATTCGCGCTGTTGTTTTGCATAAACGTTACCTAATTGCTGCAACAGTTTATGATAACCATATAAATTATGTGTTGTTTGTAAAATAAATTCAATATCACTCACAGTAAATCAGCTCAAAGTGTGGGTTATATAGCTTTGCCGAACTTCTTGTGGCCTACTATTAACTTTTTGTTCTTTAAGTTTGAAAATGTACACAACAATGTATTATTTATGGACTTCGTTCCGGTCTTAATTTATGTAATGTACTAGAATACCATAAGGTTGCATCACAGTATTGATCTTAGTTGTAATTCTTATTTAAGCGCAGCGCATATTGATCGGTTGAATTGAAAGGATGATCTCAGATTTAATTCTTATTTGTGCAGCGCATATTGATCAGTTGAATTGAAAGGATGATCTCAGATTTAATTCTTATTTGTGCAGCGCATTTTGATCGGTTGAATTGAAAGGATGATCTCAGATTTAATTCTTATTTGTGCAGCGCATATTGATCAGTTGAATTGAAAGGATGATCTCAGATTTAATTCTTATTTGTGCAGCGCATATTGATCGGTTGAATTGAAAGGATGATCTCAGATTTAATTCTTATTTGTGCAGCGCATATTGATCGGTTGAATTGAAGGGATGATCTTAGATTTAATTCTTATTTTTGCGCAGCGCATATTGATCAGTTGAATTGAAGGGGAGATCTAAGATTTAATTCTTGTGTTTGCGCAGCGCATATTGATCAGTTGAATTGAAGGGATGGTCTAAGATTTAATTCTTATTTGCACAGCGCATATTGATCGGTTGAATTGAAGGGATGATCTAATATTTAATTCATATTTTTGCTCAGCGCATATTGATCAGTTTAATTGAAGGGATGATCTAAGATGTAATTCTTGTGTTTGCGTAGCGCATATTTAACATTTACATTGGACTGATATCTAAGCTTTAATTTTTTTTATTTGCCTAGCGCATATTAAAAGGTTACGCAGCAGCGCTTATCTAAAATGTAAGTCTTTTGATTGCCAGCGCATATTAAAAAGTTCACTACAGTGCTGACCTAACATGTTTTTCATTTGTTTGTGCAGCGCATATTTAACAATTACATTGCAGTGATGATCTAAGATTTAATTCTTTTGTTTGCGCAGCACATATTTAAAGGTTACACGGGGCAGTGTTGATCTTAAATGTAATTCTTTTGTTTGCGCTGCGCATGTAAAAAAGTGACACAGCAGTTCTGATGTAAGCTGTAATTCATTTATTTGCGCATCGCATATTAAAAAGTTACACAGCAGTGCCGATCTAAACTGTTATTCTTTTGTTAGCGCAGCGTAATTGAAAAGTTTCACCGTAATGATAAAGCTAAGCTGTTACTTTCTTGTTGCGCAGAGTACACTAGTAGTCAAACGTCTGATGTAATTTTTCTTAATTTACGTTTATTTCCCATGCCTTTAATCAAACCATTTTTCATGCTTAAAAACAAGAAGATAAATCTGTTTGCTATGAGAAAACATGCTTTATCTCGCACTTTAAGGTGATCAAACATCTCTATGTCAGGTGTGCTATGCTCGTGAAAATTTTGTAAGCGCCTTGCCGTGGAACGGAAGTTTATCTTTCTATCTTAAATATATTTAAGGACAATAAATTTTTAAGAATAATGCTCCCGATCAGCTAAACTTAATTGACAATGTCTAGAATGCATGTGGATAATTCAAATTTCTTAACAAACCTTTTGCAAGAGATTGAGATAAAATTCAAGTTGTCCGAAACGTTTGAGACGGTGATCCCCTATTTTAGTTTCATTTAGACCGAGTTTACTATCCAAAGGACTTTTATACAACAAACAACAAAATTACATTCAAGAATTATTTTGTGCGCCGCTTTAAAGCCGAAAAAATGTGGTTAAACTGAACTTTGTCAAATACATTTTATATCAGCAAAAATGATTTACGTTAACTAAGGTTAATGTTAAGATAATATGTAAGCCGGTAGCGTTGTAATACCCGTCAAAGTTGTCAAGTTTACGCAACGACGTCATGTTTTAAAAACAGATATGGTGGTCAACTTTGATATTCTGTGTACACAACATGACGGAAAATAACATTAACGTAACATTGCAACTTAACTGAATGAGGTCTTAAAAAAGAATCAGCTATATCAAGCAATTATGCGCTTATATTTATTACTCTTCCATTGTAACATACTTAAGAAGACGCTTTCAGCCTGTTAATTTTTTATGTCTTATTGTCATTTTCAGAACAAAGTGACTGTCTTTCACTTTTTGAAAGAGGATCGACAGAAGATGGCTTATATACAATACAACCACTCATAGGTTTAAGCATACAAACATGGTGCGATATGAAAAATGGTGGATGGACAGTTATACAACGTCGACTAGATGGGTCAGAAAACTTCTACAGAACATGGACGGATTATGTTTGTGGATTCGGTAAAAGATCTGGAGAGTACTGGCTTGGCCTTGAGAATATATATTGGCTTACTACTATAGACAGTTCTTTGAGAATTGAAATGGAAGCATTTGAAGATATGCCACGTACCCATGCTTATGCCCAGTACCACACGTTTAGAGTTGACGACGAAAATTCAAATTTTAGATTGCATGTTAGTGGTTTCTCCGGAAATTGCAGTGATAGTCTTAGTTTCCATAATGGTAATATGTTTACTACTAAAGATAGGGATAACGACGTATGGCCCTACAATTGCGCTCAGACGTTTAAAGGAGGATGGTGGTACAAAGCTTGTCATCTAAGCAATTTGAATGGACTGTACTTATCGGGGAAACACGCAACGTATGCTGATGGTATAATCTGGAAAACGTGTTGGGGTCATTATTATTCTATCCGCAGTGTAGTGATGAAGGTAAAAAGAAATTTAGCGTAACAGTTAAACGACGGCAAATACTCTAGTGTACTAAAATTTTAACATATCAATAGATGTCATATTGTAAAGAACAAAACAAAAACAGCTTAACATTACTAACCGGTTAACAAAAGAATTAATATGGCAAGATACTTCCCGGTTCGAAAATGTCGACTACACGTACATTTTATATGATTTTATGTGTAGCAAAACTTTTTACTTAATCCTTCGATGTTTGTATCTTTTTCAGTAGTTTTTTTGTATTTATTTCAGCTGATAGAATAGTTGATCTGAAAATAATGAAAATCTTAATTGAAGAAAATCGTCATTCAGTCAATTATTCTTGAATAAAGCACAACACTAAAATTGACATTACTAATTGAATCAAGTGTTATTAGACATTGCATTACAGACATAACAAATCTACCATGATTTTTAACCATGTTATATGTTAAATATATGCATTTAAAGATCCCGTAACACAATTTTGTATGGTTTTAAATCATAAATATGATGCTCAAATTAAGATTTATCAATATTGTAGGTTCCAAAACGCATTCTTTATAAAGATATTACCGAATTTAAAATTTCATATAAATAAAGGGCGGTAATAAAAAATTATTTTCTATAAAGTGTAAGTCAAATGTTACAAAAAGAAATGAATGCATATATTTTAATGATTACATATAATATGCACAAATATTTGCAGTACATATTTTACATATTCTTCGATGTTTAAAAATTGTTTTATTTGCATAATTATGTACGTATATATAATTTCACTTTGTGTGGTTTACCACTTAGCCATCCGGTTAGCTCAATAGGTAGAGTGTTGGACTGTGAATCGGGCGACCCCGGTTCGATTCCCGGATGGCGCAGGTCACTTTCGTTATGATTGATCATGAAATCCTTTCAACGGTCATTCGCACTGTACCTTTGCTCTGGCATGTACAGAAGTTTCAGTTCCTTGCGAAAGTGAAGGCAACTAGTACTGATAAACTGCTTGACAGCCTGCCCAGGAACGATGCGGTGGTTGAACTGTGCTCTGGTGAATTCAATGTGGCTTACTCTCGTGATCCGGAGTGAAAACTACTAACACCACCACCACGGTTTACCACTTTGATCACAACATGCAGGATCTTTAAACGTTTATCATGAGATGCTACTTAGAATAAGTGTTGGAATAGTATAATAATATGATAATAATATAATAAAATTAGGATATAAACTTAATCACATGAAGGTAGCTCTATAAAAACAATACATAAGAGCATCAATGCTTTTTAAATAACACATGCAAAGATAATTCAATATTTGTTAATGACAGTCCCTTTACAATAACACAATTACTATTATAATATTCTAACAACAGTTCTGTTAAACAGTTTTTGCCTGTATGTCTTTATGAAAACTCCCGAACATATCTTTAAGTTTGCCGCATATAATATGTCCATACATAGTGTTAAAATGTTTCGGGTTGGAAGTAATAGAATCAGTGACTAACAGGTAGTTTACTGAGCAATGTTCTATATCCTTTATTTCGATAAACCAGAATCAAAGGCGCAGCCTTTTAATCAGTGTAAGCAAAGCTATAAAGATATGTTTGCTACAAGATAATGTTAGTATACTGTTGAATATAGCTCTTGACCTTTAATAACCATAATTGTGTATCGGTATTATGAACTTTTGTAATATTTGTACCTATAAGTCTAAAACGTCTGATGAACATACTAATAGTTATAATGACTCTTCAAACAGAAAATGTGAAAATATTCCATTACGTGGCGTTATGACTGGAACCTTTGATGGTTAATTGTAAAGTTCTTAATTCTTTCTTCGTTTTTGAAAAAAAAAGAACAAACAGCTGTTACAGCAAGATATTCATGTGTGAACATCTATTTTATCTGAATTATCTGCGCCGAATTGATACAGTGCTACATTGTTCTGCTTTTTTTGTAGCTTTTTACCTATATGAGAAGGTAAAAGAAAAGGAGGCGATATATTTTGGAATTTCTTAAATGCATTTAATTTAGTATTATGAACTACTTTATGTCTTATTTGTCAAGCGTTATTTTGAGTATGGATCATACTTTTTTGGATTTTAAATTATATGTTGTTTTAGAGCATTAAATATTACTTTAGGCATTCGTTTTGCTTAGTATGCTATCACGACGCTTTGTACAAAGACAATGTGTAACAGGACACTATGGTGGCTGATTTTGTACACTTTTCGCGTTGCGTTGTCGATAGCGACAACATATATCGTTATCGCCTTTACGTATTGTCTACTTTTCCCTAGCGACACGCGCCAAACGGCGTGTTGTCGCACTGTAATATTGTCATCCTGTCGCTAGCAAAGCACGCCAAACGGCGCGTTGTTGTCCTGTCGCTTTGGTTATAAGTCTATCCTTCAATTTAAGCCGAGCGACAATGTCACATCGCGACAACACGCCGAACGACAACATGCTGTTTGACGTGCATCGTTAGCGACAGGACGACAAGGCGAAACTCGACAGCACGACGTTTGGTACTTTGTCGTGATGTTGCTAGCGAAAACACGATGCTGCACAAAAAAACGTTCCAATAGGACATCCTTCTTTCATTATTTTATATGAACGGACACAGAGTTTCAAAATAGTGTTTAAAGCAGCGTTTTGTAAAAATCAGTTAAACTTCAACTAATCATTTTTCCATTGCTGTCTCAAAAATCACAATTTCACCCAACATTCTATGTACAGGAACGGCACATAAAACGTTTTTTTATTAATTAGTGATGGTATAATCTGGAAAACGTGTTGGGGTCATTATTATTCTATCCGCAGAGTAGTGATGAAGGTAAAAACAAATTTTCCGTAACAGTTAAAAGACGGCAAATACTCTAGTGTACAAATATTTTAACATATTAATAGATGTCATATTGTAGAGAACAAAACAAAAACAGCTTAACATTATTTACCGGTTAACAAAAGAAGTGATATGGTAAGATACGTCACGGTTCGAAAATGTCGACTAAACGTTCATTTTATATGATTTTAAATGTAGCTACTTATTACTTAATCTTTCGATGTTTGTATCTTTTTAGTAGTTTTTTTGTATTTATTTCAGCTGATATAATAGTTGAGCTGAAAATAATGATCATATTTTGAAAATCTTAATTGAAGAAAATCGTCATTCCGTCAATCATTCTTGAATAAAGCACAATACTAAAATTGACATTACTAATTGGATCAAGTGTTATTTAGAATAGACATTGCATGAATATGCATTATAGACATAACAAATCTACCATGATTTAATAACCATGTTATATGTTTAATATATGCATTTAAAGATCCTGTAACACACTTTTGTATGGTTTTAAATCATAAATATGATGCTCAAATTAAGATTTATCAATGTTGTAGGTTCCAAGACAATAGGACATCCTTCTTTCATTATTTTATATGAACGGACACAGAATTTCAAAATAGTGTTTAAAGCAGCGTTTTGTAAAAATCAGTAAAACTTCAACCAATTTTCTTCAATCATTTTTCCATTGCTGTTTCAAAACTCACAATTTCACCCAACATTCTATGTAGAGGAATGGCACATAAAACGTTTTTTTTTATTAATAAATGATAAAAATCTTATGGAATGTGTATGTATTAGTTTAAAGGCTTTCTTTTTTAATTTTTATCATCATTTTTAACAATTCTTTTTAGAAGATCTTGTTAAAACTATATTTTGTATTCTTGTTGATTCTGCAATGTTGTAAAGCAATCATTAAAATGACGTCAATGATTAAATTTGACGTTTTGTTGGGTCATGAAAAACAATATGTTACATATTTACTAAATAAAATTTACAAAAATATTTCAATTCAAATATTGAGTCTGTTTTGTCACTTAATAAGATAATGTCAATTTTAACGGTACTGAATGATTTAAGCACAATTACATGTGATCATAAATGGATATTGAACAAATGTTAAACTTTGTAATTTTTGCCATAATGTGTAATCAATAAATAGTTTTGTTTTCCATTTGTTGTTGCATTACATGGTAACTCCCTTTGCGAGACTCGTGTGCTACCTTCTCTTGCTTGATTCCTCTCCACTGGAACCATAAGCAATTAAACTTTAAATTTTAATGACAAAGTATTCCCAGAAGAAGAAATAAAAGTATGTTGAATTAAATATAGTTAGAATTACGTCATAACCTTTAAACACCATCCGCATATGCATAATTTATTAAAGTACCATGGTGTGGTTCTGTTTTGATTGACTATATAGGCCTCTCGGGAAAACGCCGCAATACACCTGTCAGTTACAAAACAGGCTTTCTCGCACCAAATTATCAAAGCAAATTTTAGAAAAGTGAGCCAATAACAAATTGGGATACTTGGAGGCTGCGTCAATATGTAACGCAATATGGATAATTCATTTAACAAAAGAGCAAATATTTAACAAATATTTAACAGTTTTCTATTTTCACCCTTTTATTGTACAGAAATACAAAGTGTCAGACGATTATATAATTTTTAAATGTTTCAGCATTATCCTCCTAAGGTTTAGATAAAAAGTAAATTAAATATAGCTTGAAATAACCTAGTTTTTGTCAACATAACAGAAATGTCACCACGTTTCTCCTATTGTTATTACTCATTACTGTTAAATGACTGATAACAACCAATTGTTTTAGATAACAGTGATAGTTCGTTATACCGAGACAGTTATAATACTCTGACATCTACCTACCTTAAATAGTAATGCAATCAATATTCAAACGTAAGAGCAATAGTTTCATCACATCAAACAAATCATTTTAAATACATTCGCAACAAAGCAGGGTTAAAACTTTTATTTAAAACTCCATATGATGAGGCACTGCCATTTCTTTCTTGTTTAGAACACTAACAATATTTGATTCAATACCCTAATTTTCAAGGAATGAGTCGAAAGAAACACATTGAAATTTTATTGATCATCAATTATGTTTGAGGATGTTTCTTTATTCACAATATCAGTATTGATATAAAACAATATTGCATTCCAAAATGGCAATGAACAGGCTCTCTAAACAAACGTTTAAGCTAAACATTCAACATTTTCTTTTTTACTTGTTTGGGCAACTTGCATGATTTCCTGTTTGCACTAACTTTGAAAACTTTATCACCTAATCGCTACAAATTTTAAACGCATTGCTTCCAAATAAATTGCTTTATTTTCAGCAGCAAATTCAAACCAAGACTTTTATTCATTTCTGCACTTGTGAAAAGTCATTTAAATAATTCAGAATTTTACGCTGATCAAAGTTCAGTTAAATCGTTATAACAAAACTGGTAACAAAGTAATTTTATGAGCTAAAGTAACAATAAAAAAGGCTTTTGCAGGAAGATTTGAAACATTGGCTTGTCAATGAACAAATCAAATGACAGATATTACACATTCATTTTAAATTAGAATTCAAATAAACAAATAATTATCTGGCTTGTTTGTTTGAAAACAGGAACGATTTTGAATGAGGTCGAATTTGTTTTAGCTGAATGATCAGAAACCTTCTTCTACATGGAGCAATGTAGTTGTTATTGTGTTGTAATATTTTTAGTTACACCGATAATGTAATGGTCAAATGGCGACAATACAGCATAATCCTGGTGGGGAAAGACGTCAATTACAGCTTATTGCATTTTTTACATGAGTGGGAACATGAGTATGACCACTTACGTTCCAATATTAAGCTGGATCGCTTCCTCACTTCAAAATATTGTAACAGTACAAAACCAGTGAAAACCTGACATTAAAATAGATGAAAAAAAAATTTGAACATTAAGTTATTTAAAAAGATCCGTGCATGAGCAGGGTGGAGATCCCACGTGACCTGTGACAACAGAAGTGATATGGAATTGAATGTCTGCACACATTATCGAAGCGATTCCAAATTATATTTTCCAAGCTACTTCTTTTATTTCAAAACCATTTTCAAACGAATCAAAGCCGTGTTAAGTGCGAACAATATAAATCTGTTTAAGTTTGATTATGTGTGCCGCCATTCAACTCATTGTCATTTCTGATGTCACAAGGCTCGTTCAGTTGAGCATTGATAAGGAAGCTAAACCAACAGTTCTGAAATATTGTTCTAATCAGCACAATCTAGCAATAAAGTTCTCTGTTTTATACTTTTAAGTAATTTCATTTTTGCTGATTTATAAATTTTGAAAGATATATCAACTTAGATATGACATTGTTTTCAGATCAGAAATGCAACTTCGGTTTTTTTCATATCATATATCATTATATACGCATAAATGTTTTCTATGTAAAAGCGACTAGCTTTTTTTCATTTTGTATCAGTACTTTTTTTGCTCTATTGTAGTCATTCTTGATATACAACTCATGCAGTATTAACATAGACATCATATATCCGAATGGAAGGATTGTCAAACGAACACTCCGTTGACACCATTAGCAATTAAACTATAAATTTTAATTACAAAGTAGTCCCAGAGGAAGAAATAAAAGTATGTTAAATTAAATATAGTATGAATTGCGTCATAACCTTAAAACACCATCCATTTATTGTTTAAGTATATGCATAATGTATTAAAGTACCATGGTGTGATTCTGTTTCGACTGGGGGGGGGGGGTGCGTTCATTAAACGCTGCCTTTCCTTCTTGATCTTATTTATCATATTTGATTGACTTAATAAGCCTCTCTGTAAAACACCGCAATTCACCTGTCAAACACAAAATTATGAATACATTATCACAAGCAAATTTTAGAAAAGTGAGCAAATAATTATTTGGCATACTATGCGGCTGGGTTGATATGTAATGCAATATGGTTAATAAATTTAACAAAGGAACAAATATTTAACAATTAGGTTTATATTTAAATAACCGAGAAATAGCCGACCCAAGACCATTTCTACTAATGAAGCGATCACATTGTTCAGTCAGAAAATGAAAAACAAATGGTATCAGAGAGCCAAGTCTTGAGAATACAATGAATATGTATGGGCAGTAACCCGTCGTTCCCTAAAAAATATCAAATACAGTAGCTCATTTGTGTTCAATTGCGTTGTCGTTCAGAAAATGCAGGCCTTTTATACCAGTCAAAGGACGAACTTTATTGAGGTATTTTCAATTTATCTTAACACGAATCTGTTTACCAATACTTAGATGTGACAGAACGGCTTCTAAAAACAGGACTTTCTTGACACTTGTCAATCGCTAGGCAATGCATGGTCGACAATTATTTCTTGTTGTCAAAATTATATTATTACATTCCAAATTGGCGTAAAATAGTGAACCCAGCTTTCAGGATCAGTCACAATCTTAAAAAAAAACGACAACTGTCATACTTAGGCATCATTTTCGATTATTTTTTAGCACATTTAACCTGCTCCTTCTTCATGCCAGTTTTAAGCAAATAGTATGTCCATCCGGCAGTTTTTCGCCTAAATTTCCAGTAATTGTTCAGAGTCGTATGAATTAACCATCTTGATATCCCTGCGGTATGGGCCATCTTGGTTAAAATAAGTCTTGCATCCTTGTCAAGGAAAAGCTTAACTTAATGAATGTTTTGTCAATAGCTATAGAACATAACAAATATCATTTAAAACATTTATAGCTGAAGTATTCCTAGTTTTTCTCGAGCTTTTATGTAAGCCCGTATTTCAGAACTTTTAACTGGTCAGCCATGTTTTACATGGAGTTACTCGTGTAAGATATTTTTAAAGATAGGAACTCGGTAACGGGACTGCATATTGCGGCGCAATATTTGATCCTGTACCGACTTTACATAGTGTTTGTCCGACCTTTGAATTTATATTTCCATATAATCCGAGAAACTGGTCCTAGAAAATTCAATTTAATATAATTTGTTACTTTAAAAATAAGTCGATTATAGGTTTAGGACATCCTACATTTACTGAAACGTTCGACGCGACTTTTTCTCCTTGATATACTTGATTCTTAATAAAAAAATTCTGGTAGACTCTTAAAAAATGCTATTTAACGAATACATTTTTTACATGTGTATAATTGTTTGCTTACAATCTGAAAAAAACTAATATTCCGTATTTACATTTATTTAACGATGAGAATTCATTATATAAGTAAAAATACTTGTATGATTGGTCTGTTTAATATGTTTGATTTTTTTTTATTCAAAATACATAATATAAAAAATATAGAAAAAAATAGAACCCTAAAAGAATGCACAAAATGGCAAAATTGAAAATGTTGCAGACTTAATTCAGCCTGTTCATTGACGTTTTATTCTCTATTACATAAAAAATAGTTTAAGAATATTCCATTAATACGGTGTCCCAAAACTGACATCCGTGACATTTTTTATTATTATTTCTTAATTGCGAAATAACATTTCGTAATTACGAAGAAGGGCGCTCGACTCTTCTCAGTTCTTAGTTGTAAACCAAGATACTTGTTAATTAAAGCCTAAAGAGAAAAGAAGTTTTCATAAAAAAAAAGAAACAAATGTCAAGGCTATGAGTCTTGAAAATGATTTCTGTGTCCTGAATATGTCAAAGCCAGTGTCACAGTTATGGCGCCTGTTACGTCATCATCCGTTATGACCAAGAATAAACAATTTAAGTTACAAGCGAGTTACTTCAGTTTTAGATTAAAAGATTGATTACATATGAAAAACTTTAACCAATATTTTTAAGACCAAAACGGGCCATAATTCAGTCAAAATATATGCCAAGAGTTGTGAGCCTACGATAGTAACCTCTTGTTTTGGAGAAACATTGTTGGTCAAAGTCAAGCTTCTTGAGATTACAGCGCAACTTGTTTCTTAATCCTCTTTTGGGGTTTGACCTCATTTATTATGGAATGTTCTAGATTAAAAAGGGAGAAAGAAGAGTCAATATGGAAATATTGCAAAGAGAAAGTGGATCATGGGCATCATACATTGAACTGTAGTCACCACAATCTAAAGTTTATACTTAGGATTACAGATAAGATAGATACTTTGATTTTCAATTTCAATCATTTAACCAATATCTCACAGGAAACCTTTGTTAACATCAACTATCCGTTCCTGATTTATGCGCTGTATATTGATAATAATAGCGTAAGAAGCATTTCAAGTAACGATCTAGACGTGTTTCCGAATTTGCGTTTGTTATTTTTGTCATACAATCAAATATACTTTGACAATTTAAAACATTTGCTGGGTTCATTGTCTTCTAAAAGATATTTGATGCACTTGGAAATGACTGCAATCAGCACAGCCATCCTCAACGAAGATTTATTTTCATTAATGAAAGAAAATCACATCAAAACACTCGTGGCTACAAATTATTTTACTGACACTCTGGATATGAAAATATTCAAGAATTTTAATCAGCTAGAGACTCTATATATCACAAATAATCACATTTCAGAAGTTATATTATCCAAAAAAAAATATCTACATAAGTTGATGATTGGTAGAAATAACTTGAGAGCACTCCCGGACTTCAGAATCAACGGCAACGCATTAAACTGTTTCTTTCCACAACTTGAGTTACTAAGTGTAAAAGATAATGACATACAAGAAATAAAATCTGAATATCTTAAATTTCTAATAAATTTAAGACTCCTAACCCTCAATGGAAATATAATAACATTATTACCGAACAATTTCTTGTCAGCTTTGCTGAATATCCATACAGTACAAATAATGCTTCCAGGAACGAGATCTTTGAAAGTCGAACCATTTGCCTTTAACTCGTCCTCGCTCGTGTCACTTACTCTACAATATCGTTATTCTGCTTTGTACGTTTTCCAGTCCTTGAATAATACCTTTAAGTTTTTGCCCAAACTCAGAAAATTGATAATAGAAGACATTTCAATGTTGCGGTTAACCAACCAAGATATTATTGGATTTTTTTCGCCGCTTCATAACTTGCGAGAACTACGTTGTTTTAGCTGTCAGATATCATGGGATCCCAAAATTATCTTGAATCTAATGAAACATTTGGACACTGTTAACTTTCAATCAAATATGATATCAAAATTAAGTAGTGAAACATTCAAAGATAAGAAGAATCTGAGAAAGCTGGATCTACGGTATAACCAACTTGGACATATAGATTCTACAGCTTTACCGATTTCACTTCTTAATAAGTTGCACCATTTAGACATCAGCAAGAATCCATTTGTTTGTGACTGTAACCTGGAATGGTTTATTGCTTGGTTGCAATCAACACATAAACCTTTAACGATTTTAAGATACCAAAAGGTATATATATGCCACCTTCCAAATGAAAAGTCAAGAAGGCGACTCTCTGACGTATCTTTTACGTACAGAGAATGTCATCCTTGGAACACGTGGATTTGGGTCGCTATCATTGCATCACCTTGTGCATTATCATCATAGTTGTATATAGGAATCGATGGAACATTAAACATTATATCTATTTAATGCGAAAAAGACGAAACTACCAGGTTATTGAGGGAAATGATTTTGTATATGACGCTTTTGTTGGTTATGAATCCGAGGATTCAGTCTGGGTACGCCGACTGTTACCAGTACAAGAGGAAGAAATTGGCCTGAAATTATGCATTCATGAGAGAGATTTTCAGCCTGGTGTTTGTAAACGACAATATTGTCACAAATATAGACAAAAGTAGGAAAGTAATACTTGTTCTTACCAATGCCTTTGCACGAAGCGGATGGTGCATGTTTGAATTAAAAATTGCACATTCTAAACAGATCGAAGATGAAACAGAATTAGTGGTTATTTTGTTGGAGAAAATTGATGGAAGAAATATGAATCATTCCCTGAAATGTCTTTTTGATTCAACAACGTACATTGAATGGACAGAGGATTTGGTTGATCAGGACTTGTTCTGGGAGCAATTGAAAACTGTTCTTGTGAAATGATTGCGTTACAAAATAAGATAGCCTCTGTTATGTTGGACATTGATCTTATTAATTTAGAAGTATTTTCTACTATTTATTTATTAGTTTATTACAGTCTCATCAATATACACAGTAAAAATACATATAAAGTACAATATAATGCACATTGCCAATCTATAAGATTTACAAGAGAGTAAAGGTTGACTTACTATTTACATGTAAAATTCTAAAAATCTAAAATAACCTTGCTAATTCAAACCGGAGTTGTGAACATATGATAAAATGAGTCTACTGAAGTTATTAAAATACTGAGGTAGCAAAGTACCTCCAAAATTCTATATAGAAATAAATATTGTGGTTAAATTTAATTAAAATCCGGTTTAGATTATTAGCAAAGGTATTTTCTAGATAGTACATGTATATCTAAGAAAACAAGTTATTTAAAACAATGTCAGTTGTATAAAATTATTTTTCTTCTATTCAATATGTTAAAACAGGTCTTGACAGTTAAAAATACAATGTCTGCATTTGAGAGATTGTATCCTACTTTATCAATGTCTGAGAGGGCATCAAACCATTGTTTAGCATTTGTGCTTCTCGAATCAAGTCGTTACGAATGGAATCATATAGACGGTAATATAATAATACATGTTTTTCATCCTCTACAATAGTTTGACAGTGGGGGCACAATCGTTGTTCCACTGGCAAACCATTGTAGTGTCCTAGATCTATACCGATTGGAGCCGTGCCACTGCGAAATTTAGCTAAGGCACCCCTGTGTGACCTGTTCAAAATTAACTTACAATAATTTTCAGTTTCAAAGTTATTCTTGAATGATTTATATAATCTTAATTTGTTTCTACCAGAGCCATTTCGGCCTGATTCTTGATTAACAGTACAATTCCAATTATGAATGTAATCTTCCAGTACTTTAGGCAATATAATATTAAACAACTCTTGTTTTTGTATCGGATTTTCAACATTGCAAAATTGTTCTATATTATACTTCGTAAACAACGTACAGACTTTAAAATTCCAATTCTTACGTCTGTTACCTGACTTATTTCTTGCCCATAAAAATGTTTGTTTATTTAAATCCCTACATTCATATTACTTAGTCTACTCCAATTATCTTAAACGGATTTCCAACAAAAATATATTATAGGTTTCCAACCGATATCTCCTGCATTTTAGACTGCTGCATTTGGAGTATATCTTCCAACATTCAAAAACTAGCGTGCATCTCTATGCTGCACAGCATTAATACAAGAATGTATCACAGCCCTAAACAGACGATGCGTATGTGATTACTGGTACAACAGTAGCTTCTTACATTTTTGTATATCCTTCATAAGGAATACCTCTAAAAACTCTAGTTTTAGCAATTAACATTCCTTATGCTCTATGAGCAACCTGAGCAACAGTTTTAGCTGTAATAGAATATTCTAACACTATCGGAATTTTTTCTATATAAACAAAGAAGGCCCGAAGCGTGCATTATTCTACAACAATGCACTCGCCGTTCTTATTATCTCCCTGTGTATTTTCACATTGAGGGCGCCATTTGATAAATAAAAAAACATTTTTTTGTCGAATTTTGTTGTGAAAACTATCTAGAATGAAAGAAAATGGTCAAACTAAGAAAATGAATCCGAACAGCAATATCTTTAATTCAGTCGTTAACGCTGTACAGACGTTAAAAGTGTTGTTTACGTGACGTCACAATGTAGCGCCAAACAGCACGTGCAAAACAGTCAAATCAAGTACGCTATTTTAATGTCGAAACGAGTTAAGTTTTACATTTATTTCACTTTTAATAATTTTTATTTTGCTTGAAAAATTATAAAGTGAAATAAACATACAAAGTTTTATCAACGTTTTCAAAATTCGTTATTCTCAAAATGTTTCTACAAACGGTAGATTTAACGACAGTTTTTTTCAACCCACTGGAACAGCATTGAAAGAACGTTTCTATTGGAAACTCTTAGGCAAAAAAATTTAACCACCAAACATAAAGTCCAACTTTATAATAATAATTAATTTTTTTCTTGACGTGTTAGAATGGAAATAGATATTAATTCTTCGTGCGTTATTGTATAATAATGCACGTTTTTCGTTCAAATGCTTTGTAATTAATCTCTCAGGCCCATCGGCCTTCGTGATTATATTTCTACGCATTTGAGCTCAAACCGTGCATTAATCTACAATAATGCACTCAAAATTGGTATCTATTTCCTAAATCAAGGTGTACGGTCAAAAGTATAGTGAGAGGAAAGTTCTTTCGTTCGAGTGAAATATGGAATATATTGTCACGAAACATGAGATAAGTCCATATATTTTCACGAGCCGGAGTCGTCAAAATATATTTAACTAATATAGCACCATGCTTTATGGGTAAAATCAAATAATTGAAGATATTTATGAAATTATCATTTTCTGCGGTTTTATATTTATCTTTGAAAATGAAAACATTAAGATTTCCTTTGATGGCAAACATTTGAAAAATAATAATTTATGATTAGGATAAAGAGGGGTCATATACATTAAACTAACAAAATATCATGCCCTTTTAGCATTTTTACGTCGTTTTACTAGCCTGTGTTTTGATATTTAATATCAAACAAAGAAAATTATCTATGAAATCAAAGTTGTCAACAAAATACAAACATTTTTACGAAACACAGTTTTACATGATCCAATGTCACTCAGCCACCATGAAACAACATAATAGCAAGTGCAATTTGGGTAAATATACCATTGTGTTTTATCAAAACGATGTCAGTGTCTTTTAAGAAGATTTATATATGATATGACAATGAAAAAATGGGTGAGAGCATGATCTGGAAATTTGCACACAAACTATTTGACCAGACCTGCATCAAATGATACACAAATCTCAGACATATATTTCCAGTCGCGTCCTGTCAAAAGACCTCAGTGGACTCTCTTTAATATTTTTGTTTTATTATATATATAGTTTTTTTTCATGACTTTATCTTTTTTATCATTTTTTCTTATTTTTGTTTTGTTTTATATGTTTAGCATAAATATGATATATTTGTAAATATGTAAGTGATTCACAACATTGTAAATATTTATTACGATTCCTGTTAGCTATATATTGAATAAGTGTACGTACCTAAATTGAATTATCTATATCATCAGTGAATTACCGATTATATTTTACAAATAAAAGTTACAATGCTTTATTGTTTTTGTCAGCCTTTCTCCGCCATTACTGTTGACATTATAAGACACTTTATCAGACATAGATTTCAACATTAATCTGCAACAAGAAAGGATAGTACACAAGTTTGTGAACTTTTCCCCGCAATAACCAATAATGTGCATTGACTGATGCATCTGGAAAAAAAAGAGATTAGTCGGAAGCAATTTAAACGAAAAAAGTCGAACATCGCATATTCGATTTTATTGAGACTGTTCATGAGAGTGTAAAAGAGTTCATCATTCACGTCCCATAGCAACGGTTAAAGTGGTTTGCAATCCTCAATAGTGAATAAAGGATTCCGGTAGTAAAGAAAAAAGTAAAAGAAAATTGAAATAAAATTGACACTAGGTAATTCGGTCTAAAAAGAAAGATCCCACATATTAGGAGAACAAAATAACAAGTACATTAGTACTTTACATATAGGCTCCCCAAACACACATAATGAAACAATAGAACAATGCAATCTTATTTTTGTACTTTTTTACTTAAAAGATACAAATATTTTCATTTATTCGGAGTGTTCAAATACATTCAAGCAGAAAATATATCATATCATTCCAGCCTTTTATTGTCAATAAATTATTTGGAAATCAGTGTTGGCAATATAATACAAACACTTTTTACGAAAGAGATCTTTATTTCATCTAAGGTTGCTCAGTTGGCATAAGATCAGATAAAAGTAAATGCATTTTACTTAAAAAATTAACAAAGGCTGTCAATGGCTGATCATGTAAATTGATATTGTAATAAATGCCCAAAAGTTAAACGATGTGCACACAATTTTCAAGATGACTTTGGTGAGGTGCTGTTATCACGAAATTCCGCATGCCTTATTTGATAAAGGCGGCACATATTGTTAATATATTTGATCGATTTAGTAGAAATCCCAAGGGGTATAAATGTTATAAATGAAATTACGCTATTGGTGTAAGTCTACAGTTTGCAATTCATGAATCGTTTTATACGATTTTAGTATGAGCAAAAAAGTGAAAGGAATAAGGCCGTTAGAAAAAGATCTAGTACGAGAGATCCCTTCGAAGCAATTAAAACAACAAACTCATGAGCTGTATTCGAACTTCAGCGCTAAATATGCAGGAATCAATGATCCCAAATACACAGAAAAATAAATATAACGACACTGAAGAAGTGTGTGTACAGGGCAACTTATACAGCTACTAAATGTCGCATGACAATCACTGTTGTGAAGTATAAAAATATTGTGATCCCTCGGAAGCAATGATAACAACATAATCATTTGAAAATTGCAGAGAAATTTGCATCAATATTACACAATTTCTAAAGAACCAAAAGTCACCTTTTTATGTGTGCATCGACTGTACTCTGTCTTTGAGGGTATCTTCTTCTACTTTAACGTTTTGTACTTATTGATATTATCATGACTGACCCT